GCCGCTCCGAGGTACCGGGGCCGCTCCGAGGTACCGGGGCCGCTCCGAGGTACCGGGGCCGCTCCGAGGTACCGGGGGCCGGGAGCAGCCCAGGTGAGCCGGGGGCCGGGCCGGGCGCGGGGCCCCTCGGGCTCGGAGCGGGCTCGTCCTGCCCGCGGCGCTCGGGGGCTGCGCTTGGGCTTTTCCTTATTTTTTCCCCTCTTTAAAGGATCGCCGAGACTCCGGTTCCCTCGGGCAGCAGCGGCCGATGTGGGAAAGCTGCGGGCGGCGTTTTGGGCCTGGTGGGAGCGGGGAGCCGGAGGAGGAGGAAGGAGCGGCGAGGAGCCCGGAGCAGCAGCGCGGAGCGTGCGGGATTCCCTCCGGTACAGCCCCGCCGTGATCCATCCCGGAGTGTGCGGGATTCCCTCCGGTACAGCCCCTCCTGATCCATCCCGGAGTGTGCGGGATTCCCTCCGGTACAGCCCCTCCGTGATCCATCCCATCCCGGAGCGTGCGGGATTCCCTCCGGTACAGCCCCGCCGTGATCCATCCCGGAGTGTGCGGGATTCCCTCCGGTACAGCCCCCACTGATCCATCCCATCCCTGAGCCTGCGGGATTCCCTCCGTGATCCATCCCGGAGCCTGCGGGATTCCCCCGTGGTCCATCCCGGAGCCTGCGGGATTCCCCCGTGGTCCATCCCATCCCGGCCCCAGCCGCGCTCCATCATCCCCAGCTCCGAGCCCAGGTAATGCCAGGCCCGGGGTCACACGGGGATTACGATCCCATCGAAAGGGAATCTCGTGGGTAGAGCTGTCTTCCCTCATTCCCTGGAAAATCACAGCCCCTCCCTGCCCGGGAGAGCCGCCTGGCTGCTCTTTGCCCGGGCAGGACACAGAGCACCAAGTGGTTTAGCAATAGCAGTAACTCCTCCGGGGGGGTTCTACCGTCAGGGCTGGCTGCTTTGACGGAAAATAAAACAGAATTAGAACTTGTTTCTGTTGAGCTGTGTGGCCTGGAAAGGCTTTGCTTGGGAGAAACACAAACAGGAGGCTGGAATGAGGTTCTGGGAAGGGGGTCTGGAGTCAGGTGGTCAGTGTGAAACGTGGGGTGAGCAGATAATTCCCTTTGCTTCCAGGAATGAAGTAGCTGTGAAGCTGGCAGTGCCTGGGATGTCTTTATTAGCTCCTTAATTTCATTGAAATCCCATGTGGGGAAGGGCTGGAAGGGGAATCTGGTCCCTGACAGCTGAGATCTGATGGAGTTGTCTGCAGGGTGAGGGCAGGAGCTCAGCAGGGAACAGCCAGTCTGCTTTTTGTCTCTGTGGTAATTAATTATAATTAACTGAGTCAGCTCAGGCTGTTAAACTCTGCCTGTGTCCTGTCCAAGAGGTGCTGCCATCCTGGGGGATCTGGTTTGTCACCTGGGCTTGTGCTCTTGGCTCCTCTGGCTCTGGCAGAGCCCTCAGGGTGGCTCAGCCTTTGCAGAATTCCTCTTTTTCTTGGTGTTCCTTCACTGCAGGGAGAACTGTCAGGTTAGAGGATCGCAGAGGATCAAAACCCAAATTCCTTTCCCTCACTTTGAGCTATTGTGCTACTGACACCTCCCTGTTCCATATGGATCAGAAATCTTGGCTCCAGCCAGGTGCTTCCAGAAGTAAAAGCTGAGTGAGTGTGAGCAGCTGAATGTTTGGGGTGTTTTTTAATAGAAAACACCTTTTTTTCTTTAGAGGAGCTGGACAAACAGGCTGGAGGGGCTGGAGCAGGGCAGGGAGGGCAGCAGGGTCAAACCCAGGAGGGTTTGTCTAGAAGCTGGTGAAAGCCTCCAGATTTGTGGGGTTTCTCCTTTCTTAGATGTTCCCATTGCTGAAACGATTTGGTCACTCGTTTTTTCCCCATTTCCTCTGCCCAGAATGGGGACTGTGGCTTTTCCTCAGAGATTAAACCTGCTTTTGTTTCCTTAAAATGTTTCTTGTGAGACAAACTGCAGTGTTAGGGTTCACCCCTGTGAAACCCAGCTTTCTGCTCCTTCCACAGCATCTCCTGTCCAAAGACTGATGGGAATTCCTCAAACCAGTACAACCAAACGATAGGTTTGAGGTTTCTGCTTTTCCCTTCTCTCCTTCACCCTGTGGGTTCTGTGCTGTGTCACCCACCATGAGTGTTTGTGCACTGAGTATTCAATGTCTGCTCCCTCCTGCCCTTTCCCTTTGAATTCTGAGGGAGATTTTCCTGGAATTCTCTCATTTCACTGCTGCCCGGGTGTCTGAACCACATAAAGCATAAAGGTGAGGTAGCAGGAGGGGTGGGATGAGAGTTTGCTGTTCACGTAGCTCATCCAGCTGTTAGCTCTGATGAAACAACAAAAACTGTAAATCCTCCCTAAGCATACAGATTTTGGGGGGTTTAATGCCTCTTAGTTTTAGTATCTCTTGGAAGGATTGAAGCTCAGCTCTCACTGAGCTGCCTGTGGTGTTTTCTTCTCTTCAGTAGAGCAGCACGAGATCCTCCTGATTAGGTTTAAATATCTGGGTCACTTCCCATTACCTGTGTTAATTCCCTGCTCAGTTTTGATACTGGGAGAGGAGGAGATAAAAGAAATGTGTGTGGAAAGCTCAAACTGAGGCTGGAGCTGCCCCAGGCACAGGCCATGTGCTGATGGATTTGTGGGTGAGCCCTCCCAGGCATTTTGGGTGCTGTTTGTGTGTGCAAACAAGATTCCTTCTGTTTCCCTCCCCTCACTGGGACAGCGGATCCAAAAGCCAAACTGGACAGAGTTTCCCCTCTCTCAGATAATCCTGAGCTTTGTGAGTCGTTGGTTCAGGGATTTAAATAATTTCTTTAATTATTTTAAAGCTGATATTAATTTCTTTAGTTAATTTTAAAGCTGATAAACATCAGGGGCAGCTCCTGGATTTTGCAGCTGTGGGTTCTGTTCTCTCGGTTACCAGATCTGTGTGTCAGATGGGGCTCGTTCCCTAGAGCACAGTTTCAAAGCCAGGAACAGGCAATGGATATCTTGGAAAAGGAGGCAGGAGCCAGGAGGTTTGGTCTCTTCTCCCAGGTAACAAGGGCTAGGAGAAGTGGAAACAACCCTCAAGCTGTGCCAGGGGAGGTTTAAGTTGGATGTTGGGAAAATTTCTCATGGAAAGGGTTGAAATGTGTCAGTGTGCCTTCATCTCAAACCTTCTCTTCAAAAACACTCCCACTTTCTCTCCCTGGGGATGTCTGCATTCTTTTATGCCTCTTAACAAGTTGCTGCCTGGGAACGTGGCACTCTGTGGATTTGGTTGTTATCACCAGCTTTTGAGGTCTCTGCAGAGCAGAAGCAGCTTGGACAGCCAGAGCTCCGGTGCCTGGGCTCTCCAGATAAGAAAATGAAGGAAAATCAGAAGTCTAGGATAAGAAATGCTTTCTGAGCCTGTGTCTTATCCAGAGGGGCCACATTTCAGTGCACTTCAAAGTGTTGTTAAAATCCTGCTGGGTTTAGACCTGGCCCCCAGAAATTCATAAACATGACGGGCATTTAGACTGAGGCGTCATCTCTTAAAACTTGTCAGGTTTTTGCTCTTGCTCTTTGCACTGAAGAGTTCTTACAAATTTCCCTCGGAGAAGTTGCCTTCTCATCTCTATCCTGAAATTAATCACAGTGGTTTCTCCTCCATGCCAGCTGTGTCCTTCACCAGCAGCAGAGATCTTCCTCCTCCTCCTCATTGTTTTGCCTGCTTTTCCTAGAACTGACCTAATTACAGGATTCCTCTGTTACTGCTTCCCTAGCCAAGGTCACTTTGCTTCCCCCATTGCTGCAGTTCCATCCAGGAATGGTGAATTAAACTGGGAATGCTGGAGGGGGGACAAGGCCTTCAGAGATGAGGCTCTGCCACTGTTTTGCACAAGAGTGCTGAACGCAGCTGCCTCTCCTGGAATGGCTTTGCCTGGTAAATCACAGAATGCCTTGGGCTGGAAGGGACCTTACAGCTCATCCCATTCCACCCCTGCCATGGGCACCTCCCACTGTCCCAGGCTGTGTCCAGCCTGGCCCTGGGCACTGCCAGGGATGCAGGGACAGCCCCAGCTGCTCTGGGCACCCTCAGGGCCTCCCCATCCTCACGGGATCCCGACATCTCCTTTGTGTCTCCTCAGGGCCGTGTCCTGCTGGGCTTTAGCACCGAGTATCACATCCAGGTCACCTCGTTCCCTCCCTCCTGAGTGCCAGGATGTGGTGCCAGAGGCTGGCCTGGCTGCTCCGGGGGCGGCGTGGGAGCACCGGGCACCGCTGGCCGTGGCTGCCCCGAGCCCCTGGAGCCGTCCTGGCTGCCCCAGGGCGCTGCCTCCCCACGGCCCCAGCGTCCCCTCCCTGTGCCTGGCAGCTGCACCGGGACCATCTCGGTAGGTGTGCTGGGTCTGGGTGCTCCTGCTGTGCCCAGGGACAGCAGGGAGGGTTTCCACCCTTGTTCCCTGGCACGATGTGTGTTTTCCTCCTGAAACAGCCTGTCCTAGAGGGATGCACACTGGGGGAATTCCCAAAGGCAGCATGGAGCAGCCTTGTCTTCTGTGATAAGTGAGGCGCTGCTAAATAAGTGATCAAATCCGGGGATTCCTGAACAAAATCTGTCCGAGCCTTGCCCTGTCAGGCACCGTTTTCTGTGCCAGGCTCAGGCTTTCCCTGGCAGAGCTCCCTCGGCTCTGGTGCGTGCCCAGCTCTGCTGCCCCGCCTTGTGCAGGGTGGTGGCAGCTGGGGCCAGAGAGATCTCAGTGCTCTGAGTCACCTGCAGGCAAAGGGAATTGCTCAGCACTTTACACAGTGGCTCCAAAGCAGAGGAGCCAGGCCTTTGAGAAGCCCCTCTGCCAGGTCTTCATGTGACAATTTATGTCAAGGGCTACCACTGCATCCCCTGTAAATGAGACGATGAGGTGTGGGCTCTGGGCTTCAGTTCTTGGCTTTCTTTGTCCTCCCTGTTGCCCCAAAGCCTCCTCTGGTCCCATCCCTGGCAGAGCTGAGGTACGGGAGCACGGTGATGCGCCTGGATTTCGTGTGGCTGCGGGACCACTGCCGCTCTGCCTCCTGCTACAACGCCAAGACCAACCAGCGCAGCCTGGACACGGCCAGCGTGGACCTGGCCATCCAGCCCCAGGCTGTGCGGGTGGACGAGGCCACGCTGTTCCTCACCTGTGAGTGCTGAGCCCCTGTGCCCTCCTGTGTCCTCCTGTGCCCTCCTGTGCCCTCCTGTGCTCTCCTGTGCCCTCCTGTGCCCTCCTGTGCCCTCCTGTGCCCTCCTGTGTCCTCCTGTGCCCTCCTGTGCTCTCCTGTGCTCTCCTGTGCCCTCCTGTGCTCTCCTGTGCCCTCCTGTGCCCTCCTGTGCCCTCCTGTGCCCTCCTGTGCTCTCCTGTGCTCTCCTGTGCTCTCCTGTGCCCTCCTGTGCTCTCCTGTGCCCTCCTGTGCTCTCCTGTGCCCTCCTGTGCTCTCCTGTGCTCTCCTGTGCTCTCCTGTGCTCTCCTGTGCTCTCCTGTGCCTGCTGGTGGCTCCAGTGTTAGTGCCCATCTGGGGAGGTGCCGAGCCACCAGCGGGTTTTAAACGCTGCTCTCGCTGTAAGCACAGCCCTGCATCCACGTGCTGTGGTTTTCCTGGCCCTGCCCTTTCTGTGTGTGCGGTGGCTGGGTTGGTCAGACTCCCGCAGCAGGAGCTGGCAGATGGGGAATGACACGGTTGTTTCTCTTCTCCTTCCCTGCCCCGTGTGAGCAGCTGTCAGCCCTGCTCACCGTGCCCCTTCTCCATCATTTCTCCTCACTCTCCCAGCTGCTTTCTCCCTTTTGCTGGGGCTCACCTTTATATGAGGGCTTGACTTCAGAGCTTTGATTGTCCTTGGAGTCCTGTCAACAAAAACCAAAACCACTGCAGGAGCAACAGTTGGCTGGGATTTGGAGAGGGCCGCAGCAGCTGCCCTGAATTTGGAGTTGTGGCAGCAGTGACAGCACCTTTAGGGCTCATGGCCTTTCAGGTGGTGTTTTGGGTGGCAGCAGGGTGCCAAGAGCCTGTCCCCAGCCAGGTGACAAGGGTGAGGGCTGTCCTGGGCTGACAGGTGCCACGGTCTGGGGCTGGCCAGTGGGGTTTTGGTGACTCTGCCCTCGTCCCCGTGCCAGGGCCCGATGGACACGTCACACGCTACGGGCTGGAGTGGCTGGCGAGGAACAGCTACGAGGGGCAGAAGCAGCAGGTGATGCACCCCCGGATCCTCTGGAATGCTGAGATCTACCGGCAAGCCCAGGTCCCCTCCATCGACTGCCGGAGCTTCCTGGAGACAGACGAGGGTCTGAAGGAATTCCTGCAGAACTTCTTGTTGTACGGGATCGCTTTTGTGGAGAACGTCACTCCCACCAAGGAGGACACGGAAATCCTGGCAGAGAGGATCAGCATCATCAGGTATCTGGGCTATCCTGGGAAGGGCAAACTTGTTTTCTTTCTGTTTGGAAAGCTGCTGCCTCCATGTCCTGTGTTTTGTGTGGCATGGCCTGGTTTGCAGACAGATGCTCCCCTTGGCCTGGGATGGAGGATGGCACCGTGGGATCCGCCCTCCTTTGTGGGAGAGCTGGGAATCGCTCACTGAGCTGCCCCCAGAGCATCCCGTGGCTTTTGTGACAGTGGGACTGTGCCGAGAGGAGGGACTGCAGGAAGTGGCTGTCTGGGAAGAGCAGGGCTTTGCAAGGACAGACGTTTCCTGTTATGACTTGAGGGGTCGCGAGGGCAGCCTGGCCCTGGGAGCCAGGGAGATCAAAAACCAGTTGGAGCTCCTGCTGGAGAAACACAGTGAGAGGTGTTGGTGCTGGGTTTGTGTAAAGCACCAGCAGCCTGGCAGGCCAGGGGCTGAGCTCGGGGCTTCACCCAAGCTGTAGGAACACTTTGATTTGCCTGGGGCCATTGGAAAAGGGGTTCCTGTTAATGAACGGTCGCTCCAAATAGAAACAAGGGGCTCCAGGGAATACCCAGCCAGGTTTTGTCTCCAGGCACCCTCCCCCTGTAGCCCCTGAGTGCTGTTTGGCCTGGGCTGCTGTCCCTGCTCTCCTGTGCATGTTGGAGGGGGGAGGTGGTGAAAACAGGATTCTGGGAAGAAATGGAATTATTGGGTGACCCTGTGTGGATACAAGTGAGGGCTGGCACACTCCTTGGCTGGGGATGAGGGCTGGTGTGGAAACACGGGTGTTTGTGGAGTGGGAGACTGGTCACCACCAGCCTTCTGGGGAGGAAAAAGAGGAGCTGAACACCACGAGAGGGATTAGAAGCGGCGTCAGAATTTTGTGAAGTTGTTCCGCTTTAACGACTCTGAGCGTGGGAGCAGAGGGGAATAAATCCAGTGTCGGGGAGGATGTGCCTTACCCAGACACTGAGCCGCCTCTTTTCCAGGGAGACCATTTATGGCAGGATGTGGTACTTCACCTCTGACTTCTCCCGAGGAGACACAGCCTACACCAAGCTGGCCCTGGACCGGCACACGGACACCACCTACTTCCAGGAGCCCTGCGGGTACGTGCTGCTGCAGGGACACCTCCCACCGTCCCAGATTGCTCCAAACCCCATCCATCCTGTCCTTGGACACCTCCAGGGGCATCCACTCTGCTCTTTGGGTTTGGGTTTTGGGTGACACGGCCTTCATCCCGCGTCTCTGACGTCTCCCAGGCTCCTGTCACTGGGTTTGGGAAGCAGCACGGGCACTTTGCTGCCTCCTGACCCAGCACAAGCCGTGGGCCCGGGTGTGGAGGAGCAGCAGGTTCGGGTGGTGTGTCCCTGGGGAGCACAGGCAGCCGAGCTCATTCCCTGGGATCCTGTCTCCGTGCAGCATCCAGGTGTTCCACTGCCTGAAGCACGAGGGCACGGGCGGGCGGACGCTGCTGGTGGACGGGTTCCACGCGGCCCAGCGGGTGCTGCAGGAGGCCCCGGAGCACTTTGAGCTGCTGGCCAAGGTGCCCCTCAAACACGAGTACGTGGAGAACGTGGGCGGCTGCCACAACCACATGATCGGCGTGGGGCCGGTGCTCAACGTCTACCCCTGGAACAAGGAGCTTTACCTCATCAGGTAACGGCCAGCAGGCCTCTGGGGAGGAGAGCTTTGTGGTGGTGGTTTTCCAGAACCTTCCATGGGCTGAAAACCAGCGTATCCTTGAGGAGCAGGGATGGGAGCATGGGAACACCCCGTGTTCCTCCCGCTCTAGAGGAAACGTCAGCACCGCTGGTACAAAGCTGGGTGTCGGTGCTGAGCTTGGATTTTTCACTCCTGGCGTTCTCCCTGCAGCTCCAGGCTCTCATCCCATTCCATCTGAGATGCAGGAGAGTTCAGCCCTTCTCTGGAGAAGCCCCTGGAAGCTGTCCTGGCACACAGGGAGAGCACAAAGTGGTGCCTTCCAAAGGGAGCTTGGGCTGATTTTTGAAACTCCAGTTTGGCTCAGTTCTGGAGGTTGTCCAGCACCGTTTCGCGCTTTAATTCTGAGCAGCCCCCAGACTTGCCGTGTCCTCCCATGGAAAAGCAGGAAGAGCAGGTGTACACTTGGCAGCAAGTGCTGTGTTCCCAAAAGTCCTGTGCTGGCAGCACGAGCTCTCTGCTCCCCTCTCAGCCTCCCTTAAACACCCCCTGATCCCACAGGCTCCCGAGGTTCTCCTGGCAGCCCCTGGAGCCCGTGGGGCAGTCCCTCATCTCTCCTCCCCTGCAGGTACAACAACTACGACCGCGCCGTGATCAACACGGTGCCGCACGACGTGGTGCGCCGCTGGTACCGCGCACACCGCGCCCTCACCGCCGAGCTGCGCCGGCCCAGCAACGAGCTCTGGGTCAAGCTGAAGCCAGGCAAGGTGGGACTGGGGCTGCGTCCTCTGGGGCTGCATCCTCTGGGGCTGCGTCCTCTGGGGCTGTGTCCTCTGGGGCTGTGTCCTCTGGGGCTGCATCCTCTGGGGCTGTGTCCTCTGGGGCTGTGTCCTCTGGGGCTGTGTCCTCTGGGGCTGTGTCCTCTAGGGCTGTGTCCTCTGGGGCTGTGTCCTCTGGGGCTCTGTCCTCTGGGGCTGCGTCCTCTGGGGCTGTGTCCTCTGGGGCTGCCTCCTCTGGGGCTCTGTCCTCTGGGGCTGTGTCCTCTGGGGCTGCGTCCTCTGGGGCTGCATCCTCTGGGGCTGTGTCCTCTGGGGCTCTGTCCTCTGGGGCTGCATCCTCTGGGGCTCTGTCCTCTGGGGCTGTGTCCTCTGGGGCTCTGTCCTCTGGGGCTGTGTCCTCTAGGGCTGTGTCCTCTGGGGCTGTGTCCTCTGGGGCTGTGTCCTCTGGGGCTCTGTCCTCTGGGGCTGCCTCCTCTGGGGCTGTGTCCTCTGGGGCTCTGTCCTCTGGGTGCCTCCTGGAGCTGAGTGCTGGGGGTTTGGCACGGGGAGCTCTGTGGCTGTGCCGGTGTCTGGGCACTGCCACATCCAGCAGTTTCCACATCCAGCAATTTCCGTATCCAGCAGTTTCCACATCCAGAATTTTCCACATCCAGCAGTTTCCATATCCATAATTTCCATATCCAGCAGTTTCCACATCCAGAATTTTCCATATCTAGCAGTTTCCATATCCAGCAGTTTCTACACCCAGCAGTTTCCATATTCAGCATTTTCCATATCCATAATTTCCATATCCAGCACTTTCCATATCCAGCACTTTCCATATCCAGCAGTTTCCATATCCAGAATTTTCCACATGCAGCAGTTTCCATATCCAGCAATTTCCATATCCATAATTTCCATATCCAGAAATTTCCAGATCCATAATTTCCAGATCCAGAATTTTCCATATACAGAATTTTCCACATCCAGAATTTTCCACATCCAGCAGTTTCCACATCCAGAATTTATTTCCATATCCAGCAGTTTTCCTGGTGCTCCAGCTTTAGCAGCAGTGGTTTCTGCCTGTGTGTTCTCCTGTCCCAGAGCAGTATGAGCTCCCATGTTCAGTTCAAGCTCTGCCTCAGAGGGAAGTTAGTCCCAGTTTCCAGCCACTGAAAGGAGAAATCCTCAGGAGCAGAGAGGCCAGAACACTTTAAGTTGAGGTTTTCCCTTCTTCCAGGAGAAATGACAGTTCTGAGGTTACATTTGAGCCCTTACATGGGCAGAGGCAGGAGACTGGGGCTGCCCCATCCCTGGAAACCTTCAAATCCAGGTTCCACAGGGCTTGGAGCAGCCTGGGACAGTGGGAGGTGTCCCTGCCCATGGCAGAGGTGGAACAAGATGGGCTTCAAGGTTCCTTCCAAGCATTCTGGGGTTCAGTGGCCAGGTGTCTGTTGCTGGTGAACTGTTTCATCCAAAATGTGTTTGGGCTGGCTCCACGAGGAGCTGCTGAAAGAGCAGCTCCTCACCCTGACCTGCTCCTGCAGTCTGCAGGCACCCCCAGGACCTGCCTGCCGTGCCTGCTGTCCTCCTGGTGACCTTTTCCCTTTGCCGCAGGTCCTGTTTGTGGATAACTGGCGTGTCCTGCACGGCCGGGAGGCGTTCACGGGGTACCGGCAGCTCTGTGGCTGTTACCTGACGAGGGACGACGTGCTGAACACCGCCCGCCTGCTGGGGCTGCAGGCCTAGCCCAGCCCTCCAGAGCCCCCAGACCCACCTCTGGGAGAGCCAGCAGCCCCCAGACCCACCTCTGGGAGAGCCAGGAGCCCCCAGTGTCACCTCTGGGAGAGCCAGGAGCCCCCAGTGTCACCTCTGGGAGAGCCAGCAGCCCCCAGTGTCACCTCTGGGAGAGCCAGCAGCCCCCAGTGTCACCTCTGGGAGAGCCAGCAGCCCCCAGTGTCACCTCTGGGAGAGCCAGCAGCCCCCAGTGCCACCTCTGGGAGAGCCAGCAGCCCCCAGACCCACCTCTGGGAGAGCCAGCAGCCCCCAGTGTCACCTCTGGGAGAGCCAGGAGCCCCCAGTGTCACCTCTGGGAGAGCCAGCAGCCCCCAGTGTCACCTCTGGGAGAGCCAGGAGCCCCCAGACCCACCTCTGGGAGAGCCAGCAGCCCCCAGACCCACCTCTGGGAGAGCCAGCAGCCCCCAGTGTCACCTCTGGGAGAGCCAGCAGCCCCCAGTGTCACCTCTGGGAGAGCCAGGAGCCCCCAGTGTCACCTCTGGGAGAGCCAGGAGCCCCCAGTGTCACCTCTGGGAGAGCCAGGAGCCCCCAGTGTCACCTCCAGGAGAGGCAGCAGCCCCCAGCCCCACAGCAGGCCAGGTGAGCTGCCAGCTGCTCCAGGCCCTCTGTGCCGGTGCCTCACCACAGCCCTGACCCTGCAATAGCTCAGACACCTCCAGCCTCCCCAGGCAGCCCCAGGGCCTGCTCAGGAGAGGGGGCAGGTGGAAACCAAAGGCTTCCACCTTTTTTTGGGAGCTCTTTTTTGGGGACCATTTTTTTTGGAGCTCTGAGCACAGGCAGCTCCTGCTGTCCGTGCTCCCAGCCTGGCCCTCAGTCCTGGTTAATCCCACCATGGGAATGCTCCTCCAAGCAAGTGCCTTCAGGATCTGGGAGCTTTGCATTATTCCCTCTTTGGCCTTATTTTTTAGGGGATTTCTAGCAGAGCAGAATGGGAATCTCTGGGATCTTTTATCACTGATCCAAACCAAGCTGCCTGAGAGGGGGCCTGGAGAGATCCTGGTGTACTTTGGGCATTTCTGAGGAGGTTTAGGTTCGAGGAGGAAGAGGGAATCAGCAAGATCTGCATGTTGGGAAGCAGAGGTGACGATGTTGGACGAGGGATGGAATTCCCAGGGTTCCTGACAAGCTTCCCAGCGTGCCTCCTCTTCCACCCCTCCTCAGGACGTGGTGTTAGGCCATCTGCACACTCTCTGCTGCATGAACCTCACTCCTTGGGTGTATTTTTTCCCCAAATTCTCCTGCTCTGAATGTATCTCAGAGGAGCCTTTCAGCTCCTGGGATCTGTTACACTGGAGGGCCACAGGAACAAAACCAATCCCGCTGTTAGAGAATCTTTCACTCATCTTTTGGGGTGTTCCCTCTGCTCTGAGCTTGGCTGTGCTGTGTGAGGTGCCTCAGGGCAGGCAGCTGCTGCAAACGCTCAGTGTGGAGCTTGTGGTGCCCAAACAATCCCAAAATCTGCTCTTGCTGTGGGCTGAGCCCCGTGATGCTCCAGTCCCGCTGTTCCCGGCGTTTCCCTGGCAGCCCAGAGGGATTTCTGAGGTTCCAGGCTGGGAAGCTGGTGGTGCCCTCTGTCCCTACAGCTCCAGTGGCAGGAGCCAATTTTAAAACTCTGCAGGAAAACGAAGCCCCCTCCAGCCAACCCCTTTCCATAGTGGAAGAAAAACACTGCGAGAGATTCCGAGCTGAAGTCACAATTTTCTGAAGAAATCGCAATAATCACAGTGATATGAATAAAAGATTGTACAAAAGGAGAACGGTTTGCCCACAAAAAGGGGATTTACCAGCACAGAGGTGAGGGGTGGCCGTGGTGTGGCCAGCTGGGACCTGCGGGTGACTCCTGCAGTGAACCCAGCAAAACAAAGAGGATCCCTCCCTCCTCTTCCGCCTCCTTTTTGGAGGGGACAAAGCCACTCCCTTCCAGCAAGGGAAGATAAACGAGGTTCTGTTTGCGGTGTCTGAGCATTCCCCGAATGTCGCTGTCCCTGTCCTGGGCGAGCTGAGCCCCCGGAGCATCGCCCATCCCATCCCAGCCAGCCCTTCCTCATCCCGGCCGGTCCCCGGCCGCACGGTGCCACGAGGCGCCGGAAATTGCCGTGCCACGAACGCTCCGGGGCTCCGGCGGTGCCGCTCCCGCCCCGAACCTCCGGGGGAGCCCGGGAACTGCTGCTCGGAGCCCGGGGTGGGGTTATAGGGGATGGGTTATAGGGGATGGGTTATAGGGGATGGGTTATAGGGGATGGG